TGAAAACTGGGCGAGAACGCACTCTGTTGAAAAATGGAAGCGCCAGGATCTCAGGATCTCTCAGTGTCCATGTTGTGTGTAAGTCGGGCCTGTCCTCCTACAGGGGGATTCTGGACGAACATTTAAAGCTAGCCAACACATAGTTCAAAATGTTAGAAAATACTTAAACAATCGTCCTCGGACTATTTTTGATTATTTTTGAATATTCCTCCTGCAGAGGGACAGGCCCGACTTGAATGTTGTGAGAACAACACGGCTTCGGAGACCTGGGGGGACTACGGACTGCGAGGGCGGCGAGGGAGTGGCGGGGCGAGGACGACGACGACGACGACGTCTAAGTTGACGTCACCTTCGACGACGAGGACGACGTCTCCGACGATGTCGACATCGAGATCGACGACGTCGACGACGTCGACGACCACGAGAACGGCGACGCGACCGCCACGGCGGCGACAACAGCGAAGACGGCGCCGGCGACGACGCGAAAAAAAAACGACGGCACCAACGGCGGCGGCGGCGGCGACGTGGAGCGGCGGCGACGGGCCCGGCGGCGACGGTGGCCCTCGGAGACTGGCGCGTGCCCGCGCTCCTGGTGCTGGGCATCCTCCGCTCCTCTTGCACGCTGAATGAGAAACGAAGCGCCAGTTTGGGCCTCAGAACGTACGGATGCACACAGAGCGCTAGATGAACAGCCATGGAAGGACGCAAGGGAAAGGGAGGGCGAGCCCAATCCGCACCCGATATGTTCCTCATGTCTGGGCGAGCCCCATCCGCGCACGGTATCAAGCCAGATTGCGCGGAATTGAGCGGGACCATGCCGGACTAGGCTGGTCCTCGATCGCGGATAGACCTGCGCCGATGCTGAAATGAAACCTCCTGGGAAATGCATCCTAATCTCCGCTCTCCATGCCTCGAGATCCGAAGTTTGACCAAATTCGATGGTCGAGGTTCGGGCCTCTGACCAGGCATCCGGAGGACTCACCTGTTTCCGCCCTCTGCCTCCGCAGCTAGGCCGACACTGAACCTCGGGGCTTGGTGTGTCTGTGCCCCCCCACCCCTCTCCCCCTCTGTCCTCTTCCTCTTCCTCTTCCTCCTTCGTTCTACTCCCCTCTCGACTCTCGAGGTCCGCCTCCTCCTGGGAAGAGGAAGTAGGGGAAGAAAGGATGAGGGGGGTGAAAAGGGAGGAGGGATGCGGGAAACCATAGCATCGGACTGAAAGAAGTGGCTGTCTCTGATGCTAGTGGCTGCTGCATGATGCCCCAAGCGAGGTGGGAGGGAAGTGGGGGAAGGCGTCTCCACGAAGTTTCGAAAACGAGAAGGAGAAGCAGAGACGGTGCCAGACTGCAGATCGCATGAGGAGGAGGAGGAAGAGGAGGATGAGGAGGAGACAGAAGGTGAGAAGCAGGAATGCTTCTGAGCATAGTCGCACGCCTCGGCTAAGGCAGCGGCAACTCAGATGGCAGGCGCCGTGACGTTGTATTTTGGGGCGAGCCTTGAACACACGTCAAACATATGCAGCCTTGCTCATCCCGAGGTCCCCAGAGGAACGACAAGACGTCGTACATACAACAATCTGATTACGGATGCCCTCCCTCGACGATGACGACGACCGGCGACGAGAATGATCAGCGATCGTCGAGGACGACAACCAACGGAGATACAAGGATGATGACCGACGATCGTGAACGACGACGTGGACGACGACGACCACGACCTCATGCTTCCAACGTTGTGATCTTCCCGATATGTGGCCTCCGGGATCTCTTGGCCACGTCATGGGGCGGAGCTTCTTATCCACGGATGCATCTTGGATAAGGTCGGGCATGTCCACCTACAGGCGGATTTTGGGCGAAACATTAAACATAGCCCCAAAAAGCCCCAAAATGAACAATACTATTGTTTCGCAAATATTCCTCCTGTAGAGTGACAAGCCCGACGTAAATCTTGGATTCTGGGGCGCGATCGCGTGGACATGCGGTCGCATTGATACGAACCGCGTGGGGCATCCGCGAGGAAACGCCCGGTGTCCCCAGAGATCCGATGCCATAATTTGTTCGACACGGGTTCCCGAAGCCTCGACCCCTTCCCCAGGACCAATTTTCATCCAGAGTCGTCTCTGGACGGTCCTAGGAGAGGGCCAGGGCCCCCAGAGGCAGAAAACTTGGAGACACCTCCTCCCCGTGTTCTTCAACACGTCGGAGGTCTGCGCAATTGCAGGGTCACGGCCCAGCAGCCCGTCCCGCGAGGCCGTGGACAAGACAGACGCCGACAACCCACCCCGACGCGCCGGTTGCCGCGTGGACCGGCAACTCGCTCATGAGCCACTCCCGGTAGCTATCGCCGGTCGCGCAGGCGCGCGACATCCTCGCGAGCGGGCCCCGCGGTCGACGACGGTCGCCGATCGACGTCGTCGGCGACGGCGTCGTCGTCGCTGCGGGGATCGGACGTTGACGATGCCGTCGCCGTCGTTGTCGCCGCCGCCGCCGCCGTCGCCACCCCCAGGATCGAGCATCTATGCCAGAATGTCCAAAGCTGACGGACGCTCCTGGCAGCCAAAATGTCGTCGCCGCCAGCGACGACTTTGCTGGCGTCACCATCGGCGCCGCCGTCGCCGTTGCCGTTGTCGCCGTCACCAGCGGCTGCGGATGTGTCGGCGGTGGCGTCACCATCGCCGTCGCCAATCGTCGTCGCAAGGTCCCCTCCCTCTATCCTTATCCGCCTCTTCCTCTTCCTCCTCCTCCTTCTCATCCTCCTCTTGATGATCCTCATAACGTGTGTTAGCACCGACGTGTGGTTGTCCAACGAAGTCGTTCAATACGAGACGGATGGGGGAATGAGGACGAACACAAAGTACGCGTTACTGGTGAAACCAAAAGTGAACACACATGAGGCTAACACACTTGGAAGCGGCCAGAGGGTCTGAGCTAGATCACCCCGATCAACATAAGTCAAGAAGAGGGGATGAATGCACATTCGCTTAACATCGGTCCCCAAGCCCTTCTCAGGGTCGAAACAGAGTTTTTCGAACCGCGCCCAGCCGTGGCTACGAGGGGGCCCCTCTCTCCCCCCTTCTGTGGCCACAACCAGAGCTGGGCCACCTCAGCCCCCCAGCTGCCTCCAACATCGAACATCCTCCTCCCCAAACATCCACCCACTACCACAGAACCAAACATCCAGAAGAACGCAGGATTGGCAACTGTTCGGGAACTGCTAGAAAGGATAGATGGAAAACAAACGCCTCACGACTGCGAAGCAAAACATGGAGCGCCTGGCTGTGAAGCAGACGGGCTGCGAGACAGGAGAAGGAGGAGGAGGAGGAGGCGGAGGAGGAGGGGGATACTGACAACCCATCGCTGCCGCGACACCCCCCCAATTCCTGCGAGAGGCCATTGTTTGGGAGAGCCATGACCATTGCGAAGTATAGTTTTCGTTGAGCACGGTTCACTTCCATTTCGGCGTCGCGCATAGGGGAGTAGGCGGATGGGGGGAAGGCTTCCCAGAAGGAGGCTGCTTCTTAGAAGGCGCCAGCCCTACATCTATGGACAAGGCCCGAGCCCTCTAGGAAGCAGAGGTGCTCATAGGACACCTTCCCCCCTCAAATCGGCGCTGGACAAACCTCCCTTTAGTAAACCTCCCCTTAGTGAAAACGGCCTGGAACCGAAACCGACGGACCTGGACCCGCAAAAATGACGGCCGCGACGCCCTCTCGCGAGCCGAAAACGGTCAATTTCTGAATCGACGTGTCAGGGTAGGAGGTCTATCCACCTCCGATCTAAGACGAAGGCAACATCAAGACAACATCGGATCGATATAGATCGGACACCTCTGAGCATCGGCGGGCTGGGAGGCCGCGGCCCCGGCCGAGGAGGAGGAGGAGGAGGAGGAGGAGGAGGAGAAGGGTCGAGGAGGGGGGGAAGGGTCGAGGAGGATGAGGGAGGAGGATGAGGAGGGTCGACGAGGAGGAGGAAGAGGGGCACGAGGAGGATGGGGGAGGAGGAGGGAGGAGGAGGAGGAGGAGGGAGGAGGAGGAGGAGGAGGAGGAGGAGGAGGAGGAGGAGCGTCCTTATATCGGACGCCGCGGCCGCTTCAGAGCGCTCCGGAACGCTCTGAGAGCGCTCCAGGCCCGCCTCGCCCACCCACGCCCGCGCGCGGCCGACCGATGCGGAGGCACTTTTCGTGCCAGGCCACACCTCGCCCGCCCTCGTCCGCGGACCGCGGCGGCTCTCGCTGGCCTCCCAACGGCCACGCCGCCGCCGCCGGCAGAACCGGGGGCCTGGCTTCGTTCGGGGGCGCCCCGGAGGGAGTGCTGGCGAATCATGGCCAGGGGCATGTGCGCGGGCGAGAGGGGAACCAGGGGGGCGAATTTGGAGCCCTCCTCGACGGGGTCGAGGTAGATGGGGTCGGAGGGTCGCGCCACATCGAAGATGTAGCACGATGCATTACCATGCAATTGCGACGTCGGCGATGCATCGGCGACGTCGGCGTGGAGAAAGTCGGGGAGCACATCGAGCCGTATCGCCGATGCATCGCAGATGCGGCGCGATCCTCTGACCCCATCTGCTTGAACCAATCTGGGAGGCCATGAATATTGAAATGAGAGAGAGAGAGGGCCATGAGATCCGGGGATAATGCATGTTCCAGCCAGGATGTCCACCCTCCCGAATCATAATAACCAACAAGACACGCCCATACCCATAGGGGGGTCGGAGAGGGCTATTGGTGCGTGTTGTCGGATGGGGGCCTCCGCTCGAACGGAAGCCATCCCCAGGGTCTGACAACCCGCACCCACATCCATAGCCAGTCCTCCTCCCAGCGACCCCCCTCATGCATGTTTTCCACCACCACCACCATGAGTAGGAGGGGGAGGGGGGGAGGGGGTCCTCCTCCTCCTCCTCCTCCTCCTCCGTCCCCCCTCCAACTTATGGTGGTTGTTGGTGGAAAACAGGCCAATCATGTTCATTCGTCAGAGTCATCACCTCCCTCTGGGCCGCCCCAGACGGCTACGAGAAGCTGCCGTACCGCTCCAGCGCGCCAGTCAGGGCGCCCAGGCCCCGGGCCCGGCCGATGATGGCCAGAAGGCAAGGCCCTGCCCCTCGCCACTGGCCACTGGGCCATGCCACAGTCGGCGTGCCAGCATCAGGTCGGGCGTGTACCCCTACAGGGGGACTCTGGACGAGAAAGAAAAAATACTCAAAAAGAATAGGTCCAGATCGTCAAAAATACGCAAGCGATCGTGCCCAGACCATTTTTTGACTATTCTTGAATGCTCCTCCTGTAGAGGGACAGGCCCGACTGAACCTTACCAGAAGCTCTCCTCGAATGACATGTTCCGAGGCATCCGACTGCTAGTTTTGCTTTAATCCGCGGCCGCCATGGGTCAGTCCCGTGGAGCTTTGACTATGTTGGAATCTCCCTCCTCCAGAGGCACAGGCCCGACTGCATGCTGGCAAATCGAACGCCGGGTAAGCACCGAGCCCCGAGAGCTCGGCGCGGCGCTTTCTCTCCGCAGCGAGCGCTCTCGCCCGGCGTCGGGTCCTGGGACCCTCACAGATCGAGATCCAGTTCGCACAGCGGCGCCCGGAAGAGTGGGGCCCGTATAGGGTTATGGTCGTGCTTCCTAGCGATGTGTACAGTCGGACTCGAATGTGACAGGACACGCCAGAGGACACAAGACCCTTCCGAGGGCCACGTTGCCACAGGAATGTAGGAGGCTTGGGTCGCGAGACGCAGGACACAAGAGCACCCTTGATTTTGCAGGGTCGACCTACTAACCAGTGCCGACTGTAAGGTTTTGGTAGTGATTTTTAGCGATGTGAACCTGTTCATGTCAGGATTTGTTGCTTTAGCGATGTTGCTTCATGATGAGGACATGCAGCAACAAAAACCACGTAAACATAAACTGTTGGAGCTCCGCGCGGATTCCTTGGATCCGCGCGGGACCCCCCATCCTGGCGCGCGGAGCGCGCCAGGGGCGGCGCCGGAGGCGCCGCCGGGGGCCCAGGCGCGGATCCAAGACGTCCGCGCGGAGCGCGAAGAGTTTATGTTCATGGCGTGCTTCCTGCTGCGACTACCCCCATGTTTTCTATTTCCAGCGACTTGCTACCGTTTGGCGCCCGAGTTATCCGGGGTAACGCGGGTCCGGGGTAAGTCGGGTTCGGATTCCCGAAAAAGGAACCCGAGTTAGCCCTGACCCGAATTACCCCTGATAATTCGGGGCTCTGATTTTCTATTTCCAGCGACTTGCTGCCGATGCTTCGTTTTCCCGAGACGTCGGATCGCAGGGGAGGGGCGCCCTTGTCACGGTGGGCCCCGGGCACGGACGGGCTCCCCGGGCCAGACCCGAGGAGCAGCCCCCGAACCCTACGGACGGACGGGCGAAAGGGGGGAAAGCATGGGGGGGGTTGAGAATCAGGAGCCTGTTTTTATTTGGATTCAGGCAAGTTTACTTGCATGGCGTGCGCCCCCCCCCCCCTCGCCCCTCTTCAAGCGAATACAAGCGTGCAAGTGCCTTTCGACTTGCGTGATTTCCGCGCCCCCCCCCCCCGGGCTTGCTTCAGGCTCAGCCCCCCCCCCCCGTCCATGCAAGTAAACTTGCCAGAGTCTAAGAAAAAACAAACTCCAGCTCACGTAGCTGATTTTCCCGGCGCCTCCCGGCGCCGGAGGCGGCTATGTATCACGGAATGGGCCCCTGGGTGGGGCCGAAACCAGCTGCATGCATCAGATTTCGTAACTTCCCCTTTCCCAATCCCCCCCCTTCGTCCGGCCCGAGAAAAGCCCCAATCAGATCACACCGCCGCCGCCCCGAGGCGGCGGGAGCCCGCAAAGCGAATGCTAGCGTGCAAGTGCCTTTCGACTTGCGTGATTTCCGCGCCCCCCCGAACGTGCAAGTCGTTTGCGGCTTGCTTCAGGCTCAGCCCCCCCCCCCCGTCCATGCAAGTAAACTTGCCAGAGTCTAAGAAAAAACAAACTCCAGCTCACGTAGCTGATTTTCCCGGCGCCTCCCGGCGCCGGAGGCGGCTATGTATCACGGAATGGGCCCCTGGGTGGGGCCGAAACCAGCTGCATGCATCAGATTTCGTAACTTCCCCTTTCCCAATCCCCCCCCTTCGTCCGGCCCGAGAAAAGCCCCAATCAGATCACACCGCCGCCGCCCCGAGGCGGCGGGAGGCCCGAACCACTGGAGGGAGCCGAGGGGCGCGGAGGGTGAAACCAAAGAGCTCTCAAGCTGTGGGTGCGCGAGTTTTACAATACTGTCTGACTCTAGCCCATGGGAAAAAGTGCCCCGACCATTTTCGAGCCAAGCCTAGCCATGGCGGGCCTCAGAAGCCCCGAAAACAAAAACGTGGCCGTCGCTTGGGAGGCACAAACCTTACTCATGGATCCCACCGCCGCCCTCATCAAATTACACCATAGAAGAACCCCAACCATTGGATGGTTTGAATCGGGATCGATAAGATCGAACCCGGGAGCCTGGAACCCACCCTGGAACCTGGAAATCGGCCCGGAAGCAATGACCAAAAATCTGGGCAACCAGGACCAAGAACCTGGGAACCCAGCCGGCCACCAAAATCGGCGGGAAACGTTTGCCAAATCTTTCAATATCCGCCGGGACCCCTTCAGTGCAAACGCTGATTGGTGAACAACCAATAGAATGAGAACGCAAAACCAGGATGCAGGGGCCGTGGAGGGCCACGCTGGCGTTGGTCGAACGAGGCTGGCCAGCGAGAGTCGCTGAGGATGGGCCGAAGGGGCAAGGATGCACGGGTACCCTCGGGAAGGTTGCCCATCCTTATTATGCGGGTTGACTGTAGCCCCTCCCGAACCCCAGGTGTTCCTTGTTTCAGCGTCGTGGCCGCAAATCAAACTCGTGAGGACGAGGCCGCAGGGGCGTTTTTTGTTGGCTACGGCGAGTATACTTGCATGCCACTCCCCGCCTCAACCCACCTGTCGCCCGACGGCGGCTCAAGAAAGCCCCAAGGGGGGGCCGAAAGAGTCTAAAGTGAGCCTGGTAGGTCACATTGCATCCAATTCCATGTCGAAGGAATACGATATGGGGTGTGGATGGGTAAGATAAGATAGGATCGATGTATCGGTCTTTCCAGCACATAGCGAATACCACGTCAGGTATCCGGGCAAATAGGGCGCGCGTGCCTTGAGCCAAAGGCAACGGCGCGCGAGCTATACTCCCGATTCTATATGACATCTCCCAAAGAGCTACCCTTAAAGTCGGGAGGGGAGGAGACGGAGAGTATAGCCGCGAATCCGTTAGGCTCTACAAAGGCCGCGCGCACGACTGTCTGCAAGAAAAACAGTGCGTACAGTCTGGCCTAACACCAGACTGTAAGGCGAGTTTCCTCGCAAGGCATTTCACGCAAATACGAGATAGCCCCCTCGGACGTCGAAGGGCTATCAGCTCGGCTAGAGGTGAGCCAAACGGGCTACACCTCACCGAGCAAACGGATATTATGGCAAAGAGCCTGAACCAAGCTGAACAGGCTCGTCGCCAAGCGTGAAATGGTAGGCTCGTTTCCGAGCACCTAGAAGGGCGCCTCTGTATTAGGCGCCCATGATGGCAAACTGGACCGCGGGGGCAACAAGGACAGACTAAAAATGATTAGACTTAGGCTTGATTCTGTCCTCGGGACCCCAAAAGGGAACAAACTGCTTCACGTCATACTTCAATGACTGAGTGCCTGACATCACTTCCAAAAGCAGCTCCCGATCGATGCTCCCCTTTGTATGCCCATATGCGGTCATATCTCTAGTATCACACCACTGCACATTATGCACTATACCTATATCCATGAGCTCACGTATCCAGCTGATATGTCCAAGCAAGGTCCGTTCTGTCGGTATCTTAAGATCCTTGCTGGGTAGCGATTTATAAACCGACTCAGCGTCTACGGTAAGAGATACTTTAATGGCTAGGCCCCCAACTTCACGCATATCTCGTAGTTGTCGTGGAGTCAGAGCCCCTGCCTTGAGCTCGTGGAGAGCGATGAGCGTAGGGTAACACTCATCAAGGTTATGTGCAGCTGCGAGTGCCTCCGCGGCATAGCTGGACCTCACCTGCAGTCGGTGTAATTTGCATAGTCCGTCACAGAGGTGAACGACGGATTTGCCTTGAGGCGAGCTTCCTCGCCGTAGTACGTTGGCCCCGCGTATGCCATAGCCCTTGGTCTCATCGTCCTCCTCCCCGGTGAGCTTCCGATGCCCTGAATCACTGTGTATGTCAACTTCATTCGTCGGCTTCGCCCGAGGGAAGGTGATGCGTTTCGGGCTGCTGATCAGCTTTCGCGTCACAGCATTCAGTCGCCTGACTTGTAGGTTGGTGGGCTCTTGGATTTTCTGGAGAGAGACCACGTATACCATGAGCCAGACTTGAGTAAGAAGGGCATAGGCGAGGGCTCCTCGCAAGCTGACGAACATGTCGGTGATTAGTTTGGTGGCTTTGGCATCGGCCGCCGCTCCTGTAAGGTCTGGGTGTGTGATAGGACGTAGTTGTTTGATATACTCGTCCTGATCCATGATCACATCCTCTTGGTCATTCTTAGTGTAGCGAACGGCGCAGTTCGTATATGAGTGTTTGTTAAGCTTGCATTTGCCAAACACCTTTTCGACACGTTGTACATAGTCGTCTATGTTTTTTTCTCTAGGCATGTCATATTAATGTCGTCGACATGTTTTGCCGTTAACAAATCTTGGCTGAATTCAAACTCAGGATCATAACTTGTCGGTGTAAGGCCTATAGCTCGTGTGGTCGTACGAAGCTTGAAGGAGAACGCTCTTGGGGCGTCCTTTGTGCCCGTTCCTGGCTTGAGGCACCTGAGGCAGTGTCGGCTTTCGTCATAGGATGAAAAGCCGGGCAGTGTACGAAGTACCTGGGCACTTCCCGGCGGAAGAGCGAAGCAAACCATGCGAGTTCCCTCGCCGGTGGCATGGGCAAGTTCCTCATAGGTCAAATCCTTGAGGAACGCTTTGTCGATATCCATGGATGCTAAGATCCACTCTGGATGGCATGCCGCCTCACTTGCCAGGAGTCTCTGGGACTGCCTTCGAGCGGTTCCCGAGAAGGTTTCCACATCG